TTTTATAGCTTCAAATTTTTTTTCTAGATTTTTAATAAGGATTTTTATCCTCTTTGGGTTTCTAATGGAGGTTTTGCTTCTATTGATTGGTTTATATAATTTGTGGTGTTTATTAGTCATTTATGACATGTACATTAAATCTGAAGACATTTCTCAAGTAGATCTTAAAAGCACAATATAACAAGAAGCCAATCTTCTCATGTGGTCTTCTTGGTTAGTTGTTAAGGTTGATATTCTTAGGGAATGCATAACTGCTGAGATTCCCATGCTTTTCATTATTTTCTAATATTATATAAACCTCGTGGTGATAAATTCTTATGAGATTAAATAGAAACACTCATACTATCTGTTTTTCGCTATTGAAATACTTTTGTAGATATTTTACTAAAATCAATCTCTTTTATACTTCACTTTTATTATCGATAAGAAACATTTTATATATTTTAGTCTATTATTTTAGCCTTAATTTTGTTACTATTATGGATAAGATGTGATTTTCAATAAATTTTATATAATTTTCATTATTTATGCAGAAAAAGACTTAAATGTATAATCATAGGAGTTTTTGAGATTAATGGGATATCTTTTGAAAGTTGAGGGATTGAATTGTGAGAAAAGATCCTTTTAGGGACCTAAATGAATGAATCTGGATCAAAGTGCTTATCTTTTACAAGGTGGAGGCCAGATCTGCTATTTTACCATGGAAGAAATTACGGCACGGTATGTGTTGACACCTACTTCGTGGTATCAGCACCATACGTTAGGCCTTTGGAAAACAAATTCGCCTGCAATAAACAAAGTGTTAACACCTACACTTTGCTGTCAATATCAAAAAAATGTCCAGAATTAGGAATTTTCATTTTTGTCCCAAGTCCTACTTCTTTTCCTTTAGAGTTTTTTAAACTTTATAAATACCCATTCAAAATTAGATTTGGGAGTTTTTGAAGAGAGCAAGAGAGACACAATTAAAAGAAACTCCACATTAAAAAAAATTAAGACTTAAAATTTTATATCATTAAATTGATTTTACTTATTATTAAATTTTGCTTTATAATGTCAGATACTTTAATATTTATCATGGGATATTTAATTTACTTTTCTTTAATTAAGAACTAATTTAGCCATCTGTCACGCCCCAGAACTCAAATCCGAGACGTAACAAACGCCGTGTACTTGTGAGAGAAAACACCGTGTACTTGTGAGAGAGTCCCACAAATGCATAAGGTTATAAACTTACTGAGTTCTTAATTTCCGAATTGGATATTTCAAATCTAAAACTCAAGTAAAATCTAACTTTTCATTTTCAAAAATTTACTATTCCAGATATACAAAAGTTTATAAACGGTCATGGCTATAACCAAGGAAACTCTGTACACAAAAATGGTTATTTGAGTCAATCATGTGAGACTAGCGGCCTAACTCTAAGAGATCTAAATCCAATATAATGCCTAGCCGTCTAGCTCGTCACTCCCCCGGCTCCCTATGTGTCGGGTATCACTACCTGAAATGGTAGATAAGGAAAACGAGGTGAAATAAAATATCTCAATAAGTAAAAATATGGACAGCTCTTGATAAAAATTTAAGCATGCCAGATAAATCATGTAAGCATAACAGAACTTTCAATGATAAACCATTCATGCATAATAAAACTCATCAGTAGTCTCATCTATAAGTCATGGCCAGTGTTTAACAAACTCCCACTGGCAGGCGTAAGTAATGGTACCAGTGTTTAACAACTCCCACTGACAAGCGTTAGTAATAACCAATGTTTAACCCCATTGACAGGGTTACAGAAGTACCAGTATTTAACAAACTCCCACTGACAGGCGTCAGTAATAGTACCAATGTGTAACAACTCTCACTGGTAGGCGTCAGTAATGATACCAGTGTTTAACAACTCTCACTGGCAGGCATCAGTAATGACCAATGTTTAACCGCATTGACAGGGTGAACCGATTTTACAGAAATACATGTCGACATGTGCTAGCGTTTACAAACTCCCACCAGCGAGCGTTAGTAATCATGACTATATCAGAGACAAAACCATGCAGAATTTCCAAAAAATCCATAATTCACCATCAAATCTCAAATTTCAAAAATAA